GGTGTACTTGCTTAAAAGAAAATCTGAAGTTGGTCATTCAATTAAAGCATTCATCCAAATGATAGAAAACCAGTTCCAAGTTTCAGTTAAAATCTTGAGAAGTGACAATGGGCTTGAGTTTAAACTAACTGAATTTTACAACCTAAAGGGGATCATTCATCAAAGAAGTTGTGTTAAGACCCCTCAACAAAACGGTCTAGTTGAAATAAAACATCAACATTTAATGAATGTTGCAAGAGCCTTGAAGTATCAATCAGGCTTACCTCTGTTTTACTGGAATGAATTCATTCTCACAGCACCATACCTGATAAACAGAGTTCCCACACCATTGCTGCAAAACAAGTCACCTTTTGAAGTGTTGTTCAAGTGTAAACCAATATATTCCCATCTTAGGATTTTTGGATGCCTTTGCTTTGCTTCCACTTTAACACATGGGAGAAGAAAATTTGATCCTAGAGGGTGCCAGTGTGTTTTCTTGGGTTATCCTTTTGGAGTGAAAGGATACAAAGTGATGGATTTACGAACAAAAATCATATTTATATCTAGGGATGTAGCATTTCATGAAACTCATTTTCCTTACAAACCGTCTGAAAAACTCATTGACAAGGCTAAATTTGTCTTTACCAAGCCACTCCCTGACATTGCTAATTACATTCATGAATCAGCATCAGATGAAACCCTTGGTTTATCTAGTCCTAATACACCTAATCAGATCATTCCCAACAATCCTACACCTGATGGTAATCTTCAAACGCCACCTACCACATCACCTATCATTAGAAAATCCACAATAGTCAAGAAAGCACCTCGGTACTTGCAAGATTTCCACTGTCACCATGCTACATCAAATCAGCAATCCCAATCTTCCTTCAAGACAGGGTCTCCAGCCTTCGCAAGTAAAGCTTTTCCACTCTCTAACACTATTTCTTACCACAAATTATCACCTCAGTTCAAAGACTTTTCAACCTCCATTTGCACTCATTTTGAACCTAACACTTATTATCAAGCTGTAAGTGATCCTAATTGGTGTAAGGCAATGAATTCAGATATAGAAGCTCTTGAGTTGAATAGAACCTGGACTCTTACTGATCTTCCACTAGGAAAGACAGCAATTGGGTGTAAATAGGTGTACAAACTGAAGTACAACTCAGATGGAAGCATTGAAAGGCACAAAGCCAAGCTCGTGGCCATAGGATATAACCAAAGAAAAGGAATAGATTACAATGAGACATTTTCACCTGTTTCAGAACTTGTAATAGTTCGATGTTTGTGGCAATAGCAGCATTCAAAACTGGCACTTGAAGCAGTTTGATATAAGCAATGCTTTCTTACATGGAGTCCTACATGAAAAAGTTTATATGCAGAAACCTCCAGGCTATACAAAAGGGACCCCCAGCCAAGTTTGCAAGCTGTTGAAAAGCATTTATGGCTTGAAGCAAGTTTCAAGACAGTGGTACTCTACATTTTTTGCAGCACTTATACAGTTTGGCTTCTCTCAATCAAAGGTTGACTACAACCTTTTCACTATAGCCACCAATCACTCCTTTACAACCCTACTAGTATATGTAAATGACATTGTAGTGGCTGGATCCAATGTGGAACAAATAGACAGAGTTAAGAAGTTCCTCAGTAGCAAGTTTAAAATCAAGACATTGGGTGACTTGAAATATTTTCTAGGTCTGGAAGTTGCAAGATCCAACAAGGGATTTGTTCCCAATCCAATGCAAATATACCTTAGATTTATTAGCTGATGCAGGAATGCTTGGGGCTAAATCAGTAAAGCTACCTATGGACCAGAATCTAAAGTTGGGAAAGAATACAGGAATGACTCTACCTGATGCTACAATTTACAGGAAATTAATTGGAAAGTTGATGTATTTATCCCTAACCAGACCTGATATCTGTTATGCCATTCAGAATCTTAGCCAGTACATTGAAACACACTCTTATACACATCTTGCCGCAGCCCACAAGGTAATTAAGTATTTGAAGCTTGCACCAGGACAAGACATCCTATTTCCCTCTTCATCCTCATTGACTCTTCGAACATTTTTGGGCAGCCTGCCCTGATTCAAGAAGATCAGTCACTGGTTATTGCATTTTTCTTGGGGATTCACTAATCTCATGGAAGTCCAAGGAACAAACTGTGGTATCTCGTT